CAATCATGTTGGACGGTCTCAAATACAAACAAATCACAATTTCTTCGATTTCCACTCCCTTTGTAAACATCACCATTATATGAGCTTAAGTCAGGCGTTATTCTGTTCATGAGAGATAACTTGTTGATAACACTGCAAGTATATGAAATGAACAATTGTTTTCATATTTTAATTTGGATATATCTACAAAGTTGAAATGGTAAATTGGCAACCGTAACGATTACAAAAGCTGACGTTTCGAGCGTTACGGACACCCGTTCTTAAAGGCATAGAAAATCAGAAAGGTGGAATGGCGAAAAATCAGTCTAGAAAAGCAAAAATTCTCAACCAAGCGAATGATTTCCAAAATGAAAAGGCACCGCACGTTGGCGCAAAGTGAGTGTGAATATTTTCACAACTCAATAATTACGTGTGTCGCTTCATGCTAATAACACTTAAAAATCCAACCAGTCTTCAGACTCGCTGGAAAATTATCTTACAGAACTAATCTCTTGCTTTGTTTGGATAACTATCACTGTTTTTGACAATTCTGAAGGCAAGGGCGACTGACGAACCACGATCACACTTCGTAACGACGGCCAGCTAAAGTCAGCAAACAGCACAAAACTCCAAACAAAATGACTCCCCTGTACCGCTATTTGTTAAGACGTGGTTTTAGTATTAAAAACCCATTCAAAGGATCAACCATAAAAAACAAGGAGAAGTATCATGGATATTTTCCGACTTAAAACCATGTAAAAGGCCGATGTTTTCATCGAACTCAGTCCACAAACACATGGAAGCACTTGGCAGCCTAATGTTGATGACCACTGACCACTGTGACGTCACCAAAACGTATTTCCGCGGTGTCGGTGTAGACGCTCCGAACTGTAACTGCGAGCAACAACGTATGTATGATTATTTATCACTTTTCTCTTGTTTGCATTTGTTATGTGTTTCCCTTCTTAAGTACAATTTTGAATTTCTGTCACTTAGGTTTTACCTAGTTGTGTTCTACCATTAAAACTGGAGTTAAAATGCTGGTTGTGTGTACCTTGTAGCGACACCGTCACAGTGACTCTGAATTTTATTGTACAGACTAAAATTTTAATGTTAATTTTAAGTTATCGCAATTTCTAATCTATTAAGTCTTGACAGTATGCATTAGGTTTTTTTAAATTCTTAATCTTAGAGGCACGTACGTATTTTGAACGAGCTCTACGAGCTCTTTGACGCTACGTGGGTAAATAAAGTGTTGATATTGACTGATATTGAACCATACTTGAAAGCTATATACTTGTTTTATCAGCAAATATCTCGTTATACCAAAGAAACACAACTTCAAACAGCCAGGTTGTTAATGATCCCTCTCGTTTTCTTTTATTTGGTAATGAAAGTAATAATGCAGTTGAATAAAGCATACATAATATTATCTAATTTCTAACGACGTTATCTTTTAAAATCAACCCCCATGAATTATAATCAGTGGCGCTATTATAACTAGCTTCCTCTTAGATAAGCCATTTTATTAATTTGCTCAAGCTTTACCGATTAAAGTTTTCATCTCTCATGCAATTACGTTGGTTGATTCTTTGTCTTTAATAAGGGTGAACATGTTAAATAATTCAATGAGCCAGAAAGCATGCGCTATCTGAACTCCGCAGTAAATATGAAGAAACACCTGTCCTGGCGTCAGCAGTATGTGCAGTAAGCGAGGTGAGCAGTAAGCAGGAACAACCAGTTTTGTAATGCATTCCAGAATCCTCTTTGACAACGAACAGCGCCCGTAGTACTCACTGTGCAGTTAAGGATATCATCGAACTTAAAAACACCCCAGAAAGTTTTCTGGCAACTGAATGAGCTAGGCTCACCTATTTGACTAAGAAATATCATTACGAGCCGTAGATAATTGAGTATATTTAGATGCACTATAGCAAATGATGATCAGATATTTCGCAGGCAGTTAAAATTTGTCCTATGTGAGTCGTTTGAGTCAACACTTTTTCAATAAGAAATTATAGAATTAAGCAAAATATGTTCATAATTCTGTGATAATGGAAGTGAAAGTGCAAGGAGACCAGTGTGCCCAGTTTCCGTAAAGTAAAAAAACCGAGGGCACCACTTCTTGCAACGTGAAATCTTGCGGCCCAAATCGATGCAGCTTTTACTGCTTAAAAGTGGCGAACAAAATATTCCACCTTTTCTCAGTTTCTACCATGTTAACTCATACCTTAGAATCATAGCGCCTTTCAGAGGGTAAAATCGCAGAAATATCAACAGGACAATTAAGAAACAAAAGCGCAAGAACTGATGAACTCAAAGACAGCATCTTGTGGACCGTATGCAAAAATGAGGCTCATGGTATTCTAATAAATTTCCCTCCTTCTGTGTGACGAGTCAAAAAACAGTTTCCAAAACCTTGTTATTGCACCAAGCACAATCAGACACGGTAAGGCCAAACATATGTCACCCTTGAAGCTAAAACCTTCCACTAGAATGTGTGGGGAATGCATGATGAAAAAGCGATCGAGTCTGTTTTGACCAGAAATTAAGTTGAAACCAGTGCGAACAAAAAACAAACCTTGAATCAATATAGTTAAAAGAAGGTAATTGTACTTATAGGCTACTTTCGGGGTCTTCGGAGTCCAAACGGAGACAGCCAAATTTTTATTTAAAACTTTGCTTTCATGACAAATTGACTGAATTTGATACTGTCTAGCCCTGCAATATTTCCGCGAGAACTGCAATTTAAAAAATTTCAGGAATAAGAATGCGTGTCTCTTTCATTTATGATGGGACATTGAATATTTCAAACAACTCTAAGCTTCATTATACGATATCACTCGGTCAGATTGAATGTGGAACGAAACGGAAACAGTAATATTATAATCAGTTGAGTCTCGGCTAACAAATGAGTGTTTTTGTTTGATAACAAACATGCAAAAGGAAACAAAATCAAATTGAGATTTTGAATTTTTAAAACGTATCAGAAGGGTTGGGACACCAAGAATCCTAAAATCAGAGGGTATTTCACGGGAGGAAGAAGACATAGGTTAATAGCAAACACACTACGAATCTGTACATCTGAATCTTTAAAAACATCTATTTTAGACAGTTACACCAAGATTACTATAATCCTCACTAATGATCGACATTATATCAAGGCTTCTAAGTAGCTCTTGTTACAAATACAACGACGTCTGGTTAGTTGTGGCAGCAGAGAATAATTTTTTTAACTCTCATCACCTTATAGATACTTGACGGCACCTTTTCCTGGTTTTCAACAACAGTTTTTTCCCTATCTCACCATTACCCAGATTGGTTTCTTCAGGTAACAGCAGCCTGCAATACATTTGGCACCAAGAGCGCGGCTGTCGTCGGAGGTGATGTAGTTGTTCGAGGCGTCAGCATGAGACCACATGTCAATCCACTGATCTGTGCCACGATGGGTTTCAGATATTCCCTTGTCTGAACGGAAGTGCAAATTTGATATTGTAACAAAACCAGAAGAGGGATTCTTCTTATTGTGATCTGCTGGGTTGTACTTGTAAAAACCGTGAATATTCCTCCCCTCGAGCCCATTGTAAGTTGTCCCCATCAAAAACATCTCGAAGTCTGTTTTGTCCTTATTTGGAGCGCCTGCCTTCCTGTCGTAAATAACCCGGATCGTGTTGACGTCACTGAACCGGAACATAACCTCTTCCCAGTCCCCCATGTCAGGGTGGATGTGACTCGATGCATCTGCATCTGTAGTTTCTGCAGCTGATGCTAGGAAGGCTGTTTTGATAAAGTGGAAGCTTGGGGACACTTTCGTGGAAATTAGTGTCCAGCCTCCACCATTGGTCTCCATGTCGCAATAAGCCTGGAAAGAATCAGTTTTTGAACCACCGTTTGGATCGATCCAGTAAAGTCCGCTACCGCGACTTTGACCTGAAATAATGAAAAGTGATCTGTAGTTATTTTTAAAATAGGACCAAAATTAAATTATGTAGTATTAAAGAGGAAACTTGGCGCTTATCTTTTTCTTATCAAGGACATGTTATTATCTTACATACAGTTTCTTTCAAATGGTTGAGTCGCTTAATCTCAAACTCACCTGATTTTAAAATATCGAGACAGTGACGTCCTGGTTCAGTAGCGAACAAACCAATCACCACTGATAGCCAAACTTTACCATTACACCATTCCCTGGCCTTTCGGAAAGCATTGTAACGAACAGTACCAGCGATACTCGCTGAACATTCAGCAACATTTTTACCCTAAAAGCAAATTGTGCAGAAAAAATTTGGTCAGGTGAAGGGGACGGCTCCAACACTACCCTGAATACCAATTAACCTGATAGAAATCATAGGATATATAAAAAATAACAGCCATCTATCTTAAATTCCAGTACATTGTCGGTGCCATATGCACGAGCTTAAATTCTCACTCAATTCAAAATCAAACAGCTCTCTCTTTCTCGCGTTCAAGCAACACGCCATTTTATGACCGTGCAGTTCATTTACGCACAACTACTACACAAACTATGCAAAGCCGCTAAGGTATTGCGTTATTCCTCTATTGTACAGTTTTTTTTGTGCTAATGACGGTAGCAAGATTTTATAACTTGACACCTTCCTTTATCTCATGGGGGGAACTTGTTTTACTTTGAGGGCACGAACTTGCGACAAGGCAAAACTTTCATATATCGACGATCTACGAATAGGATAATGCCGGAATGTTCATGGCAGAATTTTTGTGGAAAATAGAGCAAGGTTTCTTTTCCGCATTGTATGAATCGGATTACAAGCTTTTCATTGCAAAATTGAAATAGTTTATAACTTTTTTTGATTGAGGTCTACCTATTTTTTGTTTTTTGTTTCTGTTTTTGTTTTTTATTAGGGCTCTTCTGGGTTTCTTTCCCCAACGCACACATCAGAAAATTTCCCTTTAGATTGTGGCAAAATCTTTGGATTCTAAAATACTTTAGCGACATTGGTTAAGTAGAGGAAGGTTGTTGTATCAGAGTTAAGAAACATTTTAAAGAGATCCAGCGACAGTCTCAGATGATAATATTTAAATATTGAGTCAAACATTGCTTATACATTAAGACAGGCCTAGGTTACCTCTATTCCTCTGTATATGAAATTGTTATCCTCAGTGAAGTTAGCAAATGCAGCAAATCGATCTGAGGCGCTTAGCTGACACTTGAATTTCTCTGAGTCGCCCTTTATGGTTCCAAAGTTGTAAGACTGACATCGCTCTTCATCCACACACTCAAGCTGACAGGAACTTTCCGAATCCACTTCTATTTCTCTTATCAGGCTTCCGTTCAGTTTTTTTCCTTCTATCTTGTCGGCAAAGTTTACAGCTCTCAGATCTGATTCTGAAATGCGGCCAATGCCGTACACAACGGCGCAAAGAAGAAATATTATACAGAGATGCATGGGTATTCTCTACCGTCAAGGAGTTTATGATTAAAAAGAATTAATGTTTGTTTCATTTCTACTGCATCACTAGGTAATTAAGCAGGTGCAAGGAAATCGCCACATTGAAAACAGTATAAGCTATTTGATATGCTTCTCAGGTGACTTTCAGCTTATTCCTGTTGTTATACTTTTACAAATTTTATTAGGTCGCGGTGTTTTCGCTTCTCCGTACCGAGACTCTTTGAGAGTTCATTCATCTCTTTTGTTCGATAAATAAGTCTAACTTAAGCATAAAATAAATTGTTTTACCTGATATTCGCAGCCAGATAAACGAGTGTTTAATTTTCCTTTACAGATATTTACAATATTGTTCCTATGACTGATTAAAAGTCAGAAACAATGACTCTTTCTTCATCAAAATTTAAGGGCATCTTTCAGATCCTGCTTAGAAATACATCTAATGCCCTGTAAATCTGTTTAGGTAGGAATGAGAATCTAACGATTCCAGTTTAACGTCAGAGGAAAGTTGGAGCTAAATGTTTTTTACCACCAGAAAAGCAATGAAGAAGGCGGGACAGCAGTGGAGCTGAGTTTTTGGAATAAGAGCGTGCATTGCAAATTTCCTAATACTTTTACTTCACTTGCTGATTCGGGCCTGTATTGACTAGTTCAAAAATAGATTTCTGTCAGCCTCTGATTTTCCCTCATACTCCATGCAGCGTACTTAATTATAACATAGAATGATGAAAATATAAATGAATGTGTATCCATATGATTCTTCGCACATCATATTTCTACTTTTGTTTAGTTTACTAGTTAATTTGAAGTTTATTTTTAAAAGTCACACCTTGTTTCCGATTGCTGATGCCCATTGTTTACCCCTATGTCCTGAATTTGAACTCATGAATAAAGGATGTGGCTACACCAGCTGTTTTTAGTTTTCTTTTTTATTCATACGTTAAGTTTTATTCGCAGCTTATACCTTTTATGACATAAATAATTTGAATCGTAACAAAGTGGTTATAAAAACTTTATAGGTACCAGAATCTTCCAAGAACTAAGAGGTAGAAAGATATGTTCAATAGACAAGTTGAACAGAAGAAATGATAAATTCAATTAAAGACTTCACTGCATAACATTTTTTTTCTCCTGGAGTTGTGCTGTTATGAGCGTTTTAAACCCTCTTATGGAGACTCCGATATGCAAATGATTCACCACTCACTCAATAAGATATAGACACGGTGGTAATTAGTTGTTCCGAACTCGCCCCGGCACGAAAACTATATTAAAACCGCTCGTAAAAACGATACAGAGGCTTTGTTCAACAAATAGATAAGCCTTTACCGTGCTCTGTTCTTTTGTAAAGCACGCAGGAAGCGACTACATCACGAAAGTAGTGTAGGAAGAAAAACAAGACGGAATTGAGTGTTTCTCTCCACTGCTCCATTATTTCTATTAGATCCGGTCAAATATTGGCTTACGAAAACATGAAATTTTCTCCACATGACAAATAGAAAACAAACAAAGGCCTGAAATGTAACATCAGTACATGTTGGGAATCAGTACATAGTCCTAGAGATTGAAGTAAATCAACGACCTTTCCCCAGTTTTACATTATAAAGCAGTATGGCAGCCATCATTTATTGGGAGTCGCGAGGGTAAAGGATAATTGCAAAGTTACCGACCTGTAGTTTACATGTAGATTATACCAATAATAGTTTGATTATAATTAGAAGCTTGCGCGGAAAAAAAAGACTCCTTAAAGTAAAATAGTATCAAAAGAGACTTCTTAAGACATAAAACTGTAAAAACGAACGATAAAATCCGTAGACTTTTCGGAGTAGTCATGACTCCATTACAAAGGATAATGTAAAAGATCATGCAAATTGCAACATATAAAGCGTTGTTGGTGCGTAGAATTAACATAAGAGGGTGCAAAGATCATAAGAATATTATAAGAATACTTTCGCACGAATGGAGTCTGATTGCAAGTTGAGGTTTGGCTTTAACGCTCTTCTAAAAATCATTTCGTACACTAAGCAGTCAAATTTGTTTCTGCATTTCTTAAGCACTTTGAAATGCTTTGGCAGGCTTTGGGGCATTGTCCCGTGCATGTTCTTGTAGTATTTGGCAATGGTGGAGGATTGCTGTTTATCTCCTTTTACACGATTACGTAAATGTCCGCGTGTGTAACCTACATAACCGAATCACACAGGTCACATTGAAAACCGTAAACAACATACTGCTGATTTACAATCGGTCGTTTTGGTTCCTTCACAATTCATTCTTGTTCAATTTTTCGGCTGACAAACACAGGCTGGATGGTGGTGTGTACTTTTAGGCTTAGATCCTTAAGTTGTTTCCTCACAATATCTGCTGAGGTTTGGTCTTTAAGAGGAAATGTGGTCAAAAAGCGAACATTTTCAAAATATGGTGGCAACAGCCGAAAAATCGATTCGGCTCATATTCTCAAGTTAGGTAGGCCTTGTAGTGAAACAAAGCACTGCATACTTCGTTTGGCTCAATATCGATTTATTTTCGAGAAAATCGACAGAGCTGAATTTCGTCCAAATGCCGCTTTGGAGGCTCAAAATTTCAGACGAATCTCAGAGCGTCGCGCCACGAATTGAAAACAATTGGACCGATAAAAATTACAAAATCTTGAAAAACAACATCAATACATAATTGGAAAGCAATTTCAGCAATTCTTGATCATTTATTTACACAACGTAATTGAAGTTTATCCGACCCTCTTCTAACAAGATTAAAAATAGGTCAAAAGTAACCCGTTATTTAACGATATGCTATACAAAATAATCCACTGAAAATCTAGCTTTTGGAAGGCCAAGTGTGGTTCTTTCCTATCTCCAAAGGATTTTTTGGGGAAATTATTCAGTGCGATTTAATCAGATATTAAATTTGGATAAAAATGAGCTGATTTGACGATGCCGTCGGTTATTCGAAAATGTTACGTTCACATTCACACGCAAACTCGATTGTTTCGCATTTTACATCCAATCTACAGCTTATTTAACATAATATCGTGTTACTATCCATAATGCTGTACCACAAAAGGGGATTAGAGTCCTGAAATTGTTGCATTGCTCCCACAGTAGCGTTATAACTTGGCAGGATAGTCAACACATCCTGATGATTGTTTACAAAGCGTATCTCAGGGTTTCTCTCTTTCCATTTCGTTGAAAAGGAGGCTGTAATTACTTCACGTGAGAGATCTTTGTTTAAACATAAGTCTTTAACTAAACCGCGAACCAAATGTTGGCGAAATGTTGCTAGTTCAGAAACATGTTTCTCGTGTGCGGAATAACGCTAATTAATTCAAAATCGGGGTCTACAGAAATCGACAACTCCGCAAAAATACAACTTTGGACTGTGACGCACGTGGCTACAGGAACTAATGTCGAGTGTTACATAAAAGGAAACAGGACCAAGCAATTATTTAACTCCGATCCTTATTGAGTTCATATTTTTATTTTGTAAATTATTGTTTAGGTTGATAAAGCTCATTTTAGGACAAAAAGAACGAGAGATAAACCTAGTTCGGTGATTAAAAAACCTCTGCCTTCTACAATGCTGCTGTATTTTACCGTTGATAAGGTTTCAACTTCCCTGCACTCTTACCAAATTTTCTTCCGTTGGCGGTGTGTACTATTCAAAATGAGTTACAGTAAAACCTACCAAATAAAACTCAGAGGGGTGTTTTTATCGTTAATCGCTAAAAACCACACTGAGTATCTATAGAAACTCTTGGTGCTTACTTTATGAAAGAAGGAACCGGTCGAGATGATAATTGTCTCGAGTAGAGGTAAGGATTTAAAATAGTTTACAAGAATTTTTTAAGACGCTGAAAAATCGGATCGTTTGTTCCCTCTTCCTTACTATTTTAATGTTTCATTAATTACAGAAATTACCTTGAAACTGGCAGTTTCGTTTACTACTAAAATGAATTGTAGAGAAAAGATGTGAGCTCTGCAAAAGCATTGCGTGTCGTTCCCCTCATAAGGATATCAGCTGCTCGTTCAAAACAATAGTATGAGTACACTGTGACTTCGAAAGACGATCCAGAAAACGGGAAACAGTAATTATACCTCTTGTTTCCTGTTCAAGGCGGATTGAGAGCAATTTCGCTAGTGTCGGTTTTTCCGGGCCAAAAGACGAAGTTCACCTATTTCTTAGCCTAGCAGCCATATTCTCTCCTCTTGCTGACATACATTCCATGACAATTTGTCCCTCGCTTAGTGCAAAGCTTGGTTTGGGGTGAACGAGCGGCACTAGTTCGAGGCGCAGAGTTTCTTCTGATATATCAAACCATGCTCGATAATATATCGTTATATGATGCATTGATTGGCTTTGGACTTCTATAAGAAGTAGTCATTCACTTCTTAAATTTATTATCTTGGAAGGAAGGATTTAAGGAGATAGGCACAACATGGGTTTGTTTACTTTCTTTTTTCTGGTTAAATCTAGATTTCAATCTTTTCGCGATGGGCCTGAACATTCTGGTCTGACCAGACAACAGGCTTATGTTAAATTTTTTATTATGCATCAGCCACTCTCTATAATATTTCGCCATATAATGCATTGATGGCTTTGGACCCGACCATATTTGAGGGGGATAGATCAATACTTGGCTACCTTCTTGGGCAAGAATACTAAATAACTAACTAGTTGAGTTGATTTTTCAAAGCCACTGTACTGTTTCCAAAATGCAAGTATTCGAGTGTCAGCAGGTGCAATGATTACTCAAAGCGCAGAGTTTCTGGAGTTCCGAGATACACAGAAATTGTTTTATTATCCAGATGTGAGCTTTTTTCGGACCGCTGCTGGTAAAAGGTGGGTGAAAAACGTAAACGTTCTACCTGGGTCGTAGTCTTACTACCGGCACGAGTAACTTAACAAGGCACAGTAGCCTCTGGAGAAGAAGTAGTTTAAATATAAAGCTGTTGAATGTTGGCTTTTACAAACATTTCAGCGAAAGTTGTGGTTTTCCAGGTTTGACC